ACCCTGTTGATCCTGTGCGACCCGCCCCGCCCAAGCCCTGCACAGAGGCATTTGCCGGACAGCCTCAGGCAAAGGCTAGATTAGCACCTCCCTAGAGGACAGAAGTTCTCTCACTGCTGACACAGCTGATTCTCATAGCCACTTGGCCTAGAGGTCAAACCCTCCCTGGTATTAGCTACAGCAATCAAGGTTTAACTATAAGACTGCGCACAAAGACCACTAGGGGGTGCACCAAGGAAGCATAACAAAATGCGGAGACAAAGAAACAGGACAAAATTGTCAATGGAAGATATAGAGTTCAGAACCACACTTTTAAGGTCTCTCAAGAACTGTTTAGAAGCCGCCGATAAACTTAATGAGATCTACAAGAAAACTAATGAGACCCTCGATGTTATATTGGGGAACCAACTAGAAATTAAGCACACACGGACTGAAATAACGAATATTATACAGACTCCCGACAGCAGACCAGAGGAGCGCAAGAATCAAGTCAATGATTTGAAATGCGAGGAAGCCAAAAACACCGAACCGGAAAAGCAAAATGAAAAAAGAATCCAAAAATGCGAGGATAGTGTAAGGAGCCTCTGGGACAGCTTCAAGCGTACCAACATCAGAATTATAGGGGTGCCAGAAGATGAGAGAGAGCAAGATATTGAAAACCTATTTGAAGAAATAATGACAGAAAACTTCCCCCACCTGGTGAAAGAAATGGACTTACAGGTCCAAGAAGCGCGGAGAACCCCAAACAAAAGGAATCCAAAGAGGACCACACCAAGACACATCATAATTAAAATGCCAAGAGCAAAAGATAAAGAGAGAATCTTAAAAACAGCAAGAGAAAGAAACTCAGTTACCTACAAGGGAATACCCATACGACTGTCAGCTGATTTCTCAACAGAAACTTTGCAGGCCAGAAGGGAGTGGCAAGAAATATTCAAAGTGATGAATACCAAGAACCTACAACCAAGATTACTTTATCCAGCAAAGCTATCATTCAGAATTGAAGGTCAGATAAAGAGCTTCACAGATAAGGAAAAGCTAAAGGAGTTCATCACCACCAAACCAGGATTTTATGAAATGCTGAAAGGTATCCTTTAAGAAGAGGAAGAGGAAGAAAAAGGTAAAGATACAAATTATGAACAACAAATATGCATCTATCAACAAGTGAATCTAAGAATCAAGTGAATAAATAATCTGATGAACAGAATGAACTGGTGATTATAATAGAATCAGGGACATAGAAAGGGAATGGACTGACTATTCCTGGGGGGGAAAGGGGTGTGGGAGATGCGGGAAGAGACTGGACAAAAATCGTGCACCTATGGATGAGGACAGTGGGTGGGGAGTGAGGGCGGAGGGTGGGGCGGGAACTGGGAGGAGGGGAGTTATGGGGGGGAAAAAAGAGGAACAAATGTAATAATCTGAACAATAAAGATTTAATTAAAAAAAAAAAAAGTTAGCCGAGCCCTAGCCGGTTTGGCTCAATGGATAGAGTGTCAGCCTGTGGACTGAAGGGTCCCGGGTTCAATTCTGGTCAAGGGCACTTGCCAGGTTTGCAGGCTCCATCCCCAGGGTGGGGTGTGCAGGAGGCAGCCAATCAGTTATTGTCTCTCATCACTGATGTTTCTATCTCTTCCTCCCTCTTCCTTCCTCTCTGAAAGCAATTGAAAAAATTACGTATATATAAAATAAGTTAGCTGTGCTGGGAAAGGTGGACGTTCGGATACAGTACATAAATTAATAATGCACAATAAATTGTTGGGCTCTCAGCATAGGCCTCCTTTCATTTTCAAGAATATTCTTTGTGGCACCTCACACTGCACGAACCCTTTTCCAGCCTTTGTAGTAGCGGATGTCCTGCGTTCATACCCCTCCGGGCCTGTTCTTTTCGGTCCTCCCCTTAGAAAGCATGCACCTGGGAGTGCAGAGAAATTGGCGGTTTCGGGGGTAGCTCGGGGTGGAAATTCATGTGTTTTCTCGCTGCAGGAAAGCAGCACCTTTTGTAAAACACAGCCCGAGGAAACGGCTGCTGCTGACTTCTGCATGAAGAAGAGGAACAAACGCTCCCCGCGTCTTTGTTTTTGAATAGTCATCCGGCCAGAAATCACCCGTGCATTCTAAATGTGCCAGATGCGGGCTCAGTGTGTGAGCTCTCGCTCACCACACTTCGTGAAGGATGTGGGAAAACCGAAAGGAAGTTCAAGAGAAGCGAGGGAGGCGGTTAACATGATGCAAAAGAGTTCCTCTCCACCGTACTTACAGGAAATGGGCTTGCTTCCCCAGGGAGTAGTGTTGGGTCATGGTCAAGTGCATGAGCTGGGGGGGGAGGGTTGCGGTGCGTTACCCTGCAACCTGGGGAATGAAGTCTCTCCTCATCACAGAAAGGTTGACACCCCTGCCCGGCCGGCGTGGCTCAGTGGTTGGGTGTGGACCTATGAACCAGGAGGTCAGGGTCCGATTCCCGGTCAGGGCACATGCCTGAGTTGGGGGCTCGATCCCCAGTGTGGGGCGTGCAGGAGGCAGCCATTCCATGATTCTGTCTCCTCATTGATGTCTCTCTCTCTCTCTCTCTTCCTCTCCCTATCTCTCTGAAATCAATAAAAATTATTTTTTTAAAGAAAGGTTGACAAATCAAAATAAATAAGTAAAAAGAAATTAATAAATACTAAAAGAAAGGCTGACACCCCGGTTTTGGGTGCTGTTCCCATGAGATCTGCCATTGAGAGTGAAGTTGTGAATGTGGTGCCTGGCGTCGGAGGGTATTGACTGGCGGATGGTGTGGCCCGGGCAGGTCATCCCCCCTCCTCCCCACACTCTTTGGGGCGGGTCTCCAGAGAGGAACTGCACCTGGACCAAAAGGCCACGTGATGCGCAATATTGCTCAACCCGAACTGGTATCGCTCATTTCCTTTGCATCGATAAGCCCGGCGTTCGTCTTGGGCATCGATGAGAGATCAGTGCAATTTCTGCGGGAGCCCCCAAACGGGGCGCAGGCCTCTGGCTGGGGATGGTGACCACCTGTTGGTCACACGGAGTCACTTCCCCCTTCCTCTTCATCTTGCAAAGGCAGCGTTTCAGCAAATTCTCAGTAACCGCTCCTTCCATGTTGCTGATGAGGCAAAATGTCAAAGCTAATATGTGGCTTTTCGCTGCAAATGACATGGAGAGTTTGTCTCGGGCTGAATGGCGCTCCTTGCTTGCAGTGTGGTTACAGGCATGGGAAGTTTGCCTTTTGTGAGAGGCGTTCAGGATACTGAGGCTTGGGTTGTTTGATCCCAAGACCCATAAAACTGGGAGTTTATTTTGACTCGTGGGTTTCTGTTGTGGTGTGATATCCACTTATGTGCCAAACTGTCCTAGTAGCTTTTCTTGGTAATGCTCAGTTCATGGAAAGTGTGCAGAACTTTTGCTCAGAATTGGCTTGTGTGTCCTTAGGAAACTTGCTTCATCCTGCTGAGCCATTCGTTGCATTCACCTCACAGGACCTCTGGGAAAAGGCACCCAAGAGCCCAGCCGGTGCGGCTCAGTGGTTGCCGGGCATAAATCAAACCACTCTCCGGATATCAGACCCGGGCCTTGAAAAGTCTGTCACATGCAAGACAAGTGTGTGGTGATAATTTGAAGAGAACCCCCCCCGCCCCCCCCGCCCCCACACATACCTTATGTAGCTGAAAATATTGGTGGGAGCTGAGCACTCTGGGGCCATTAAGTGGGGGTCTCTTTTTTTTTTTTTTTTTTTTAATATATTTTATTGATTTTTCACAGAGAAGAAGGGAGAGGGATAGAGAGTTAGAAACATCGATGAGAGAGAAACATCGATCAGCTGCCTCCTGCACGCCCCCCAGTGAGGATGTGCCCGCAACCCAGGTACATGCCCTTGACCGGAATCGAACCTGGGACCCTTGAGTCCGCAGGCCGACGCTCTATCCACTGAGCCAAACCGGTTCGGCAAGTGGGGGTCTCTTGAATTGAGGCTCATAGACCGGGGTGAGTCTCTAAACCATCTATGTCAGATTCAAAGGCTAATACGGGCCAAATAAACAAGGTTTAAGCTTCTGTGGGCCACAAGAAAACGAAAGCTTCCATTTTCATAGAAACGTAGGTTTATTTCGTTACAGACATGCTGAATACAAAGGGCTGAAATAAATGAGTCATCGTTAACATATAATAATAGAACATTTTAATAAAAGTTAATATTTTTCTTGAACGTTCACTTAACAAACACTAAATAACTGCACAAATTAATAAGTGTCACACAAATAAACCTGTTTTTCTTGTTCTCTGAAAGTGAAATATTTCCTGCTGCGGACACCAAACAAGTCAGCCCAAGACTATTGACGTGGCCATCGGCTGCTAAAATATTAAAGGGTGCGCCTGTGTGTAAAGGAAATGAATGCAACACGATAGTTATCAGTCATTAGCGAATGTTGTAGTTCATTATTAATAATTATGTGTAACAGGATACTGTAAAAATTAAGTTATGAAATTTTTATTAAAACTTTTCTTACATACTGTTACATTGGCTGGGCCGCAAAAATATTCCTTGTGAGCTGCATGCAGCCCGCGGGCCGCGAGTTTGACATGCTTGCTCTCAACCCCTTTAGAGGTTAGGTCAAAACTATTTTGCTAGCCCTGCCCATGTCACTCAGTGGTTGAGTGTCACAGTTTGCTTCCTGGTCATGGCACATGCCCCGGTTGTGAGCTTGATCCCCAGTAGGGGGCGTGCAGGAGGCAGCCGATTGATGATTCTCTCTCCTCATTGATGTTTCTGTCTTCCTCTCTGAAATCAATAAAGACAGATTTAAAAAAAAAAAAAGAGTGAGCAAGATTCTATCCAGAAAAGTACAAAGCATGGTACCTGACACAACACAGTCACGCAGCCAGCGGAGGCTACAGCCCACAGTTGCATGGAGCAGGTCCTACGTGCCTTCTGGAGCGTCTCAGAAGAAAGGTGCAGGAGTCCGTTGTAATGATGCTTTTCTTTCTTTCTTCTTTCGCAGCCACAGGACGAAGTCTTCAGGCTGGCCACCTCCCTCGGGAACCTGGGGCTTGAACCAGGTCCCGCCCTATGGATGGGAGATGACGGCGAGCCGGGATGGCCGGGACTGCTTCATCAGGTAGGTGGCGCAGACGACATCACGGCAAGCTCTCTGGCTCGTGGCTGTCTCTGTTTGCCCCTCTACTCGGGAGAATTAACAGACTTCAACTAGGGACTCCTAGGCATTGGGAGGCCATTACACAACCAACTTGATTGCCTGTGTTTTCTGTCTCTTGTCACATGGGTTTGCTTTGTTCTTGGCCAAGCACCATCTTAAAGTGACAGTTGCCCATATGGCATGGTAACCGTGGGCCAGAACAGTTTTCCTTCATAAATCTAAGGCCCGCTGTACTCATTGTCTGAGGCGAACACAAAAGTTTGCCATGAGGAGTATCACAGAATGCTTTGTAGAAATAGTCAATTCCAAAATGTAATGGACGCACCCATAACTAGAAAAGTCAGCTCAAAGGATGGTGCCCATAATGGATCGGGTCATACATTTCTCACAGGGATATTGTTACCAGGAAACCCCCAGTTGGGCTCGGGCTGCCTGTCGCTGTGTCCAATAACGAAGGCACGATTGACTCATAGAAGGCATTAATTGAGAAGGCCAGCCAACCAAGAAGACAGGGTGTCTTACAGCCAGGCGCCGGGGACGGGATTATAAGAGGGAGTGGGCTAGGGTGATATGTGCAGGCCTGGGGGTCTGCAGACGTCAGCTATTGTCCTTAGTCATCAGGCAATGAGATGATGTTGACGAGATGATGTTTTGACTCCTGGTGGGTCAGCCTGACCATGCTTATCTGCTCTGCTTGCTGGATTCCCAGCTGAGTCACCTCCCCAATCGCTTCCCACAGGCCTTGAAAAGGAAACTTGAGAAAAACTTAACCCCCTATTCACATATCAGAAACTTAACCCCCTATTCACATAAGGATATGTGTTCTAAGATTTAAAATAATGTGATTACTTTTCGGATTAATTCAGGTGCTCTATCTATCAGATTATAAGTCCCCTCCCTATCGATATTGGGTAAGATTTTGGATTGTTGTAGAAGCTCCTATTTTAATTCTGGTAAAATATGTATACTATAAAATTTGCCATTTTTATTTGTACCAATTAGTGCCATTAAGTATGTTCAAAGTGTTGTGCAACAATCACCAGAATCCATTTCTAGAGCTTTTTCTTATCATCCCCAACAGAAACTCTGTACCCATTAAGCCAGCAGTCGCCAACCTTTCGGACCTCATGGACCACGAGTGGTCTGCAGACCACCGGTTGGCGACCGCTGCATTAAAGAATAACTTTCTATTCCCCCTCTCCAACCCCTGGTAAACTGTGTTCTCCTTTCTGTCTCTGAATCTGTCTGTTCTAGATACTCACTGAAGTGAAATCATATAGTGTTTGTCCTTTTGTGTCTGTCTTATTCCACTCAGCGTAATGTCCTCAAGGTTTATCCATGCTGTAGCACATATCAGAATTCCATTTCTCTTTAAAAATTAATAATATCCCCTTGTATGGGTATATATCATATTTGCTTATCCATTCATCTGCCAATGGGTCGTTGGGGCCCTTGTGAACAGTGCCTGTTTAAATACCGGTGTACAAATTTCTGTTTGTGTCCCTGTTTTCCATTTTCTTGGGGACCTAGTTGGGAGCGGAATTGCTGGATCATATGGTAATTCAGCATTTACCTTTCTGAGGACCCGCTAAACATTTCCACGGTGCTCTGATGCTTTGCAGTTGTATGAGAAGAATACGTATAAAACACTTCTCAGAACAGCAAGGGTCTGGCCTGCTTTCTTCTCCAACCTAAGTGAAATTCTTAGTTATGAGGAATGAGTGACATAGAGTTGCAATCCGGAAGCACAGTTTGCCCTGGTCTAATACAATTGAGCAGAGATTGGTGGCCAAGGGGAGCGAATCTTTCACACCGCAGGATGCATTGTTTTGTGGAGGGACCAGCAAACACAGGCTCATCATGAGAGGTGGGGAGTCATTTTTATAAGAATTAAAATCCCTGCCAAGATTGGGGATTTGATCTCTTGGGCATCCCGTACCTTCCTGCTTGGATTGTTGGAACGTAGCTAGGGAGACAGTCACATGTTTCCCAGTCTCTGCAGGTCAGATCTCTTCCCTTCCTAGAATTCCTCTGGGGCGGAGAGAACGCCCCTCTTCAAAGTACAGTTGGGGGCTGAAGGGCTTGCCTCCTGGGTCCCTCCTGGGAAATTCAAGTTGCCCTTGAACATGACCCACTGCAGGGCGCCCTCATGTTGCTAGAAAGATATTTTTGTCCTGCATTGTGCCATCTATTTTGTAACATGGTTATGGGTTTATATAATAGACTCAGCTGGGGTGGCCTAGATGCTTTGATTCAACACAGTCAAAATTTCTGGCAAAAAAAGTAAAATTTTCAAAAAACATGGATCATGAATTTATGAAGGCATAGCTCAGACTTCTCTAATTACAGTGTTTTTTTCCTTTCCTCGGGTAGATTTGGGTTCTAGGCTATTTGTTCAATAGATTAAAACCAGGACTAGCCCTGGTGTCACTTTAACATGGGCAGTGGCCTAATTCCAGCTGTTGAATGTGTAAGGGCCAATCATCAAGGTCATAGAAAAACCTATACTGATTACTAAACGGTAAGTTTTAGAACCAGATGATCAGTGTCACTTTTCCAAATCTGTGGGTTTGTTGTTGTTGTTTTTACTTGAAAAGTAAATTTCCACAATCCTCAGAGACAGTTTTAAGATGTCAAGAACAGTAGTACTTTGGCCAATTCAGGTCACATGCCCAGGTTGCAGGCTTGATCCCCAGCAGGGGGCGGGGAGGCAGACAATCAATGATTCTCTCTCATCTTTGATGTTTCTATCCCTCTCCCTGTCTCTCTTCCTATGTGAAATCAATAAAAACATACATATTTTAAATGTGGTTACTAGTCTGAAATCACCTGTTTTCCTTGCATTATTAAAAAAACACACCACAGTAGTACTTTGGAAATTATTTGTACTTTCCTCGTCACTAATGAGTTTTACAAATAAAGGGAATCATTCTGATTTGTTTTTTTCTTACCTGCTGAGTAATGTCCATTATAAAGAGATACTCTAATTACCTGAGTTTCTGGGGAGCCCCAGTTTGCAGCGTGGAGTATATCTCTACTCATTAGTTGTAGAAGTTAAATGAACAACTTGAAAATGAATTCATGGCTAGTAATTAGCACCTTTGCATTTAATTTTTCACTCTTTCACATCGTCTCTTTGAAAGAGATTAGATGTCTTCATTTTTTTTCTTTTTTAAAAAAATATTTTTTCCTCTTTCCTCTCTCTAAAATCAATTTAAAAAAACATCCTCTGGTGAGGATTTTAAAAAGTCAAAAAGTCGTATAACTCAAGCATTTACTTACTCTTCCTTTTAGAACAGGTAAATACTAAATACTAAATAAATGAATATTAATAAGTTTCTAAGATAGAATACTTCTATTGATTGCCAGTAGAACTTCCCCAGCTCAATAAAAGCCATACAATTTGTGTGAATTCCTGATATGATGAAAATCCCAACGTTAATCAATGATCAGTCCTCTTTTTAATATTATTGACTTTAGAAACAGAGAAAGGAAGGGGAGAGAGAGAGAGAGAGAGAGAGAGAGAGAGAGAGAGAGAGAGAGAGAGATATTTGTTGTTCCACTCATTGATGCATCCATTGGTTGATTATTGTACATGCCCTGACCAGGGATCGAACTGCAACTTTGGAGTATAAGGACGATGCTCTAACTACTGAGCTGTCTGGCCAGGGCCTAGATCATTGATCTTAATTCGGAAGTAGCTCTCTATTCTTTTTATATATAAAAAAAAAAACCAACAGCCGAAACCGGTTTGGCTCAGTGGATAGAGCGTCGGCCTGCGGACTGAAAGGTCCCGGGTTCGATTCCGGTCAAGGGCATGTACCTGGGTTGTGGGCACTTCCCCAGTGGGGGATGTGCAGGAGGCAGCTGATCGATGTTTCTCTCTCATCGATGTTTCTAACTCTCTATCTCTCTCTCTTCCTCTCTGTAAAAAATCAATAAAAAATATGTTTAAAAAAAAAAAAAAAACCAACAAAACCAGGTTTGTTTGCAGAGATGAAAAACCAATGATGCCAAAATGAATATTACGTGTCACTCTTGCATTCAAAGTGGGCGGTGGGTACTAGGCAAATATTCCTGCTGACCAGGGCTGCAAATATGTATAATTATAGAATAGAGAGCGTCCTGTGTTATTTATTTTCCATTCCTTTGTTCAATGGAACGAGAACATGTTTGTTCATGGGGGGTGGGGAGAGTAAATGCAAAAATAATGTGCTTCATAAGTTTGGGGGGGTGATGTTCGTAGATGGAGGCAAATGGTAAAACCAGGAAAATATGAGAACACTAGCTGGCAAGATTGATTATGAAGTGAGTTGGAGTCTGCGGATAGGCATGACGTGGGGGAGACTAGAGGCTCATTCCCAAACGACATGCCCTGATTTCCAAGTTCTAAGTTTTGGAGGCTGATGTTTTCCTGTTTTAACCCGCTGGTTTTCTGGCCCCCTCCACCCTGTGAGCCTACAGGGTGCTTATTGGACAAGGCACGCTGTTCAATTATTCTACCCGCGGCTCCCATGGTGGGCAATTAAACAGGGTCCGCATCGTCTTAATGCAGAATTCAATTCTGAAACCTCAATAGTGGAGATTAGTAACGAGATGTGGAAACTTCCGCTTTATCCTCCAATATCGACTTAGCCCAACGTGGGAGAAGGTTAGCCATTCCGATCCGCCAGTCAGTTCTGTGGTCAATGTGCAGTTTTTGGGGGCCCATCCATCTCCAGGAAGGCCTGATCCGAAAAGATACAAGCCCCCTTTCGTGTTAATCACAGCAGAAGACAGTCAAGTCAGTGTGGCAGGATTCTGTCCTCGTGGAAATTAGAAATGGTGCCTGGCCGGCGTGACTCAGTGGTGGAGCATGGAACTATGAGCCAGGAGATCAGGGTTTGATTCCCGGTCAGGGCACATGCCTGGGTTTCAGGCTCCATCCCCAGTAGGGGGCGTGCAGGAGGCAGCAGATCCAT